AATTTTTCAATATTCATTTTTTAGTTTTCGGCGGACACAAACATCTTTGTTTGTATGTGGTGCTGAGGATCGAACCTGGGCCGCACGCATGCCAGGCGAGTGCGCTACCGCTTGAGCCACATCCCCAGCCCTCTATTCTTATCCTATTCTTGGCAGAATAGGGAAGAACACCATTCCAAAACAGTGCTACTAAATTTTGGAGTCCATGAACTATTTGTTAATCAGTCATGCAACATACATGCAAAAATCAAGAGTAAACATTAAGAAACTTTTATAGCAATTTGATAGAGTAATAATAAAATGAAATAATTTAATAATACAAATTGAGGTTAATTCAATATTTGCATTTTATAAATTACARAATTGGCAATTAAAAAAGAAAACACTGGTTTTTTCATCTTATAAAGTTGGAGACTACTCTAGACCACTATTGCAAGGTAAAACAGCAACCAAAAATATACCAGTCAGGAGCTGGTGTTGTGGCTCAGTGATAGAGTGTTTGCCTAGCATGTTCGATTCTCAGCACCACATATAAAAAAATGAACAAAATAAAGGCCCATCAATGTCTAATATAGAAGAAAATGGTATATGTCTTTTGATAAGGCATCAATGAAGCACTGTCAAAGTAATAAAATATTATAAGCAATTATAAAAAAAGAGAAATGTAGGTACCATCAAATATAGATATGCATGCTCAAACCCTGGAATAACACAGGAAACTACCAGTGCTTTAAGAAATAATAACCGGGGCTGGGGATGTGGCTCAAGTGGTAGCGCACTGGCCTGGCATGTGTGCAGCCTGGGGTTCGATCCTCAGCACCACATACAAAGATGTCGTATCCGCTGAAAAACTAAAAAATAAATATTAAAATTCTCTTTCCTTAAAAAAAAAAAGAAGTAATAACCACCCCAATGCAGGTACTGCCAATAACACTATCATGCATCATTACATCCTGGGAGAGTATCCAGAAACTCTCACCTTTAAATGCCTTACCTTGGACCATAAATAGCAGATTAAAATATCATCCTAGTTAGATAACAGGTATTATAATTTAGGGCCTAGACCCTGCAGCCTCTACTACAGAGAAGGTTATACCAACAACCACAAGCTAGGGTTAACAAGTCAGCAGCCAACTATACTGGTCACCCCCAAGAGATTTCCTAAAGTATTTCCCTGACTGCTGGACAGTTGTTCAGAGATGAAATCCAAACAAAGAAGCCAGAGCCTTCCTATCCCATGGCACTCACCAGCTCTTGCAGTCGCCTCTTACTCATGCCTTTGCGCTCCAGCTGTTTTTCAATCACTTTGGCATTCTGTGCATATGAGTCAGCAACTTCCCTCTGAAGGAAAAAAGAAGCATCCTTAAACTAGCTCTCTCACTGAGGAATTATAATAAAGACCATAGCAACAATTTACAGTGTTCAAGTCATGAAATCATTACTAAAATGACAGGCCTCTGTTCCCTTTTCAACTCTTGCTCTTTTCAATAATCCAGGGAAATTCATGCTTCAACCAAAATCATTTTAAAAATAACAGCTCACATCTCTCCATAAACTTCATTCTACGAAGTAACAGAAAGGTAATTGTGGCTGCTACTGCTGCAGCTGCTGAGAACAGACTGCCAAACCATCAGAGCTGGACTGGAAAGGCTCTAAAATAATTTAGTCCAGTAGTCTTCAAATTTAAGAGGAATGAAAGAATTCAAACTCTTGTGCACATCTTACAGCTATCCCTGAGGTCTTGGGAAACAGGCTTTAACCCAGTGTCACATAGTTTCTTACTAGCAGAGCAGGGTCTGAAAGCAATGTCTCTAATTGTTCTGGTACATCATGCTCTAGCTCTGGAGTTCCCTTTCTTAACCCACCCCAAATTCAAATTCCCTTGAGAGGTGAAGCACTTACAGCCTCAATCTCCTCTTCCTCTTCATCAATGGTAGACACGGTGACAGAGCTGAACTTGCCCATGTCTTTAGTCCGTTTGGTCATCATCACCTGAAACAGCAGGAAGAAGAGTTAGTCTAGTTCACCCCAAGAGGATCCATAAGTCACATGTGAGTGTGAGTGTACACACACCTGTGTTCAGGGTGGGGGGCACTGCCTCTTTGGGACAGGCTGCCTATCTAAAGGTGTCAATGTTTTTATTTATATTTATATTTTTATAACATTTGGCACCAAGGGTTTTTAAAATGTTTTCTGAAAATTAGCCTAATTCATTTACTATTTAATTATTCACACTGGAAAAATAATTTTTTAAGGAAATAAATGAGAATAAAAACTACATTTTCTAAGATTACTCATGGGGCAACTGTAGGAAAAAAAGAATAGGTGTTACAATTCTGTAATATCTGCTTAAACACAAAATGGCATTCTCTTAAAAATGAATACATCTAGGGGCTGGAGTTGTAGCTTAGTGGTACAGTGCTTGCCTAGCACTGGGTTCAAACCCCAGCACCACATAAAAATAAATGAACAAAGATATTGTGTCCATCTACAACTAAAAATTTTAAAAATGAAGACATCCATAAAGGGCACTTTCTTGTGTACTAAACCCTTATTTTAAAGTATGGGGGCTGGGGGTGTAACTCAGTAGTATAGCATTTGCCTAGCATGTATTAATCCCTGAGTTCAATCCCTAGCACCACAATAAAAGACATTTGGGACGAAATCTGTAGCTGTATTAAGCAGTCTGTCTCCTTCAATGATAATTACCTTCTTTGGAGGCTCTTGTTTCTGAGTATATATATTTGTTTTCCCAAAACCCTGACCAAATTTCACTACTGCTCCATCCACAATGAAGGTCACAGGGGCATTCTTCGGCTGGGACTGGTAGAACAGTGGTAGTCCACACCTGCAAAAGGCAGAATGAACCTCTAGAAGAACTCTGATTCCAAATCCCCTCAGAGATATGCAAAACATATGTAGACTCTGGGAATATTTCTGTGTCATAAAATAAGGATTAGCTTTTCTCAATGACTGATTCCCAAATGGTGCTTGTTAAAATTGCTGTTAAGGGGCTGGGGTTGTGGCTCAGTGGTAGAATGCTCGCCTCGCACATACAAGGCCCTGGGTTTGATCCTCAGCACCATATACAAATAAATAAATTAAATAAAGGTATTGTGTCCAGCTACAACAAAAAATAAATAAATATTTAAAAAATTGCTGGGCTGGGGCTGTAGCTCAGAGGCAGAGTGCTTGCCTGGCATGCGTGAGTCACTGGGTTCAATCCTCAGCACCACATAAAATAAAATAAAGTTATTGTGTCTACCTATAATTAAAAAATAAATATTCCAAAAAAAATTGCTGTTAAGATTCCTAGGTCTCTCCCAAAAGATCCTGATCCAGCAAATGTAGGAGTGAGGACTGTGAATCTGCAAGTTTATTGAACATTTCAAGTGATCTATAATATTCAATAAGTCTGATAAACCCTAGCTCATGTTATTGATTGCTTTGCAGTCAAAACTGCCACTATTCTACCCAGTCACCTGGGTAACTGGTTTGAGCATTTTGTCTAGATTTTTTTCTGTTCTGTTTTGTTTTTGTACTGTTGGGAGGAGTGTAAAGGTTCCACTGTAGTGGTTGGCAAATCAATCCTGGTAGTAATCACCACTTTCTTTGGCTGACCATTATTACACTTATTGAGCTAAACAAAGTAGACCTACAAGAAATGATAAAAACCAATTTCATCAATCCAATATGGCTGGGAGTGAAAATGCATTCTTATCCATTTTCCTCAGCTTTAATCTCCTAGTTTGAGTCTTCTGAAAGACAAACTATAATCATAGTTTCATCAAGATTGAATTTTTTAGTTTAATAGTGACTATTAATAGCCTAAAACTGGAAATACACATAATATTCTTTAAGATTCTTGAGTCTATGATCCTATAATAGACTTTACAAATAGGGTCTGGATTAAGTTACACTAGTTTCATTTACCATATGGCCCAGTCAATTCCATTCCAAGAGAAAATACATGTGCACACTATAATTTATACTAGAATATTCATAGCAACTTTACTTATAATAGCCCAAACTGGAAACAACTAAAACACCGTTCACCTCAAATGGGTGAATGGGCAAACAAACTTGGATACATTGAATACTACTTTTTAATAAACAGGAATAAATGATTAATGACATAACAACTTTTTAAAATATTTATTTTTTAGTGTAGTTGGACACAATACCTTTATTTTATTTATTTAGTTTTATGTGGTGCTGAAGATTGAACCCAGGGTCTCACACGTGCTAGGTGAGTGCTCTACGGCTGAGCCACAATCCCAGCCCCATGACATAATAACTTGAAGCACTAAAATAAAAGGTGCAAAAGATAAATACTATACATATACAACACATATTGTAGAATTTAAATTTTAGAAAAGGCAAAACCATTGTAACAGAAAGCAGTGCCTAATGGGAGGGTGGGGGGTTAGACTGCAAAGGCATATGAAATGCTGGAAATGTTTGATATCATGATGCTGGTGGTATTACATGACTGTATTCTTTTGTCAAAGCCCATCAAACTGAACACTTAAAATGGGCAAGTTTCATTACATATGGATTACATCTCAACTTTTATAAAATTGCACTATGTTAAAAACTCATTTTTGTGGTCAGCTAGTCAGGGATGTAACTTTGACTAGTCTCTTTAGGAAATATATTAGTATTTGGTTTGAAGGCAGTTGATATTATAAAAACAGAGACACAACAGAGTATTGTATCCAAATAGTTATTTTCGTAATCTATTATCCCTCTACTTGCCTATTCCTGGAGAAACCCACATGGTTAACACTTACTTTGCGCACTTCTTCCTGTATTGTCGTTCAATGCCTTCAGGCCTGTACAGAAAATGGAAGTTAAAAAGTAAGAAGGCAGGAGCAAATCTCATAACCTATTAACCATACCATCTAATTTCTTCACATACTAAAAAGGCCTTTCAAAAATTTTCATTTCAGGGCTGGGGTTGTGGCTCAGTGGTAGAGCACTCGCCTAGCATGCATGAGGCACTGGGTTCGATCTTCAGCACCCCATAAATGTAAAATAAAGATACTGTGTACACCTAAAAAAACAAAAAATAAATAGATATTTTTAAAAATTTTTCATTTCACAAATTGGTAAATGTGTTAATTTTAAAGTTCTAACATTCCTTCCTTCCGTCCTTCCTTCCACAAGCATTTATTGAGCCCCTAAAATGGTTACCCTAACAGAAGAGGAAGAGGTGCAATATAACTGTCATGGTAATGATTATAGTCATACTAACAATGATAGCAGCAACCACTTAAATAGTTAGCCCTCCACATGCAAGGGTTCCTCATGTGTGGATTCCATCAACTGTGGATCAAAAATATTCAGAAAAAAAATTGTGTCAGTACTGAACATGTACATTTTTTGTTATTATGCCCTAAACAATACAGTATAACAATTATTTACATAGCATTTAGGTTGTATAGGTATTATAAATAACATAAAGATGGTTTAAAGTATGTGAGAGAATAAGTTATATGCAAATACTATGCAATTTGATATTAGGGACTTGAGTATTTGCAGATTTTGGTATCTACAGGAGGTCCTGGAACAAATTCCATGTGGATACAGAAGGAAAATGGTATAGCTTTTACCATATGCTATGAGCCATTCTAAAATATTAAATTTATTAACTCATGTAATCCTTACAATAACCCTGTGAGGTAGGATATATTATTATTCCCATTTTACAGATGAGGGAACTTAAGCATGAATTACAAGATTTGCACAAAATTGTAGTGCTAGGAAGTAGAGGAGGTTGAATTCAAGCCCAGGCAGTCAAACTCAAGAGCCCACATGATACTGCCTTAGAAAACCAACACATTGATTAAAAGACTCAATTCCACCCACCCAGTTGCTTAACAGAAACTTGGAACTCATCCTTGATTCTTCTCCTTCCCTCATTTCTCACACTTACTTCATGAACAAATCTGATGGATTTAATCTCAAAAAAAAAAATTTCTTGAACATGTCTACTTTTTTCCACCTTCCTGCCACCATTATCAATTCCCTCTACTACTGAAACAACTTCCTGACTGATCTCCTCACTCAACCCCTTTTGCTTGTTTCAAAATTTTAATAGTCAACATAGGCATAAGGTATACATACAAGAATAAAATGAAAAATAAATATCCATCCTACCTGTCCCCTACACACCAAGTTCCCTTCTCCATAGGCAAAATCCTTCTGATTTTTTTGTGTTCATCCCAGAGATAGTCAATGCATGTACAAGCAAAGAACACTAACAGGTACACAGTAGGCAAGCACTCTAGGCTTTTTTTCTGTGCTGGGGACTGAACCCTGCACATGCTGGGTAGGCACTTTATCACTGAACTATATCCCCATCCCTGGTACATAAGGAAACACCATTTTTCCTTTTTTATATGAATGTACCATATTTTACACTATTCTTCACCTTTTTATTTTTATTTTTTTATTTTTCTTCTTTTTTTTTTAAAGAGAGAGTGAGAGAGAGAGAGAATATTTTTTTAATATTAATTTTTTAGTTTTCGGCAGACTCAACATCTTTGTATGTGGTGCTGTGGATCGAACCCGGGCCGCA